TGAAATAAAACTAACTTCTTAAAATCATGAAAAGGGCATTTCTTAAGCAAGCGAATGCCGAATATTCCTGGCCCAGGAGACACCGCAGCTCACTGCCATGGGGGCCTTCACCTTTGCAGCTGGGGCCAGCAGTGGGTTCGTTTCTGAGCCCCATGGCCGTGTATAAAGGCCCCTAACTGTGTTTTTATGGCACTCTTGATAAGACAGTTTCTCTTCCACCTTGATGGTGGCAGGACCTTGGCAAAGGACAACACTGCCCCATGCCCAAGCTCTGTGCAGCACTGGGCTCCTCAACCCAAGCACTCCAGAGCATTTGGGGACAGTTCTCGGATGGTCCCAAATGGGGGAAACAGCATCCATAAAGGCCGAGACTGCGAATCCATGAAGTTTAGGTGATAAAAAAAGAAAGCAAGTGTGCGAAACAGGCACTGTGAGCTCAGCGTGGGGCTCAGGTCCTGCGTAAGTGGCAGTTCCTCACTTGTGCAATGTCCCCATGTCAGATTTAGAAACCAAACAGGAAGTGCACACGCCCCCCTCCTGAGGTCCGCAGAGAATGTGGTGTGGGCTGACCACGTGGTGTGCTTTGTCCCTGTGAGAGTTCCGCGGCGATGGACTTTCTGAGGCTCGTTCCAGTATTTCAGTTTTGTTTTGTTCTGTTTCACTACGCAGCTCCAGGATGACGGACGACGATTCGTATCTGGGAGGGCACGAACAAGTAAGTGTCACACTGTGGCGATCTCACAGACAGTCTTCTTTCCATCTATTCAGGTTTCAAAAATAGAGGCAACACTAGCCTTTCAGTGTTAAGAAAATGCTAAAAGCGGGGCTGGGGATTTAGCTCAGCGGCAAAGCGCTTGCCTGGCAAGCGCAAGGTCGTGAGTTCGGTTCCCGGTACCGGAGAAAAACCAAAACCAAAAAAAAAAAAAGAAGAAAATGCTAAAAGCAATTTGTGTAAAAATTTTTAATTTAAGTTTCCTGGCCCCTCCATATAAAATTGGTGTGGACACGTCGTATGAATGGGTAACTCACCCCACTGTTTTGCATAAACATTGTGTGTACAGCAGGTCCGATGCCGGCCACTGTGCTGGTGTCCTAGGACGAATGTAACACTTCAGTGCAAATGGGTGGCTTCAAACAGTAGAAATGTTTTCTCTCCCAGTTCTGGAGGCCGGAAGTCAAAGTGAGGGTGCTGCCAGGCAGTCTCCGGGAGAATCGGACCCATGTCCTGTCTGTCTTTAGGTGACTGCTGCAACCCTGGCACACTGGCCTGCAGTGTTTCTGGCTCTGTGCCCTTTGTCCTCGGTGTCATTACTGTGTCCCTGCATCTCCATCTCCTCTTTCGAGCATCTACCTGCTTCTCTGCCAAAACTGAGCTTCTAAACCTTCGTGGTTACCAGGATGTTGGACTTAAACTGGTCTTTTTTAAGAAGAGCACAGTTCAACTCACCACAGCCCCGTAAAATAGTCACTTAACTCTCTTCTACTGAGGAGGCACATGGGTGTAGAGAAAAGATCTTTGGATTTAGAATTCGGAGATTGTCATTTGAATGTCACTGCTGGTAATTGATTAGCTCTTCAAACCCAGGAATCCTTACCTCCTCATCCTCTCTGTTCTCCTCTGACAACCAGAAAGGATAGCCCCACCTGCACAGAGATCCGAAGGCTATGCTGGGAATGGGTGTGCTCTGAAAGCTCAAAACTGCTATCAATATATTTAACAGTTAAGAAAGGGTAATAGGAGCCAGATGTGGTGGAGCACTCGGGAGGCTGAGGCAGGAGGATTGTTGAAAGTTTGAGGCCATTCTGGGCTATAAAGTGAGCTCAAGGCCAGCCTGAACTGCATAGCTAGGCCCTGACTCAAAAAGACAAGAAAAAAAAAAAAAAAAAAATCCTACCTTTTTAGTTTGAAAAAATTCCAAGCCTACAAAAATGTAGTATAATCTAGCAAATCTATGCTGGTCATTAACATTTTGCTACTGTCTTCTCTCTCTCTCTATGTGTGTGTGTGTGTGTGTGTGTGTGTGTGTGTGCATGTCTGGGTGTGTAAAATGTTTATTTATATAGAACCACTGGAAAGTAATTTTCAGACTCGGGAAATTTCATGCTGGTATTATTTTAAATGTAATAATTTTAAGAGGTATTTAAAGCACTGATATTCATTCCTTAGTTATTGATTGAAGCCTTATTATGATTCCTGGGTTTTTTTTTTGTTTTTTGGGGGGCAGATACGAGGTATCAAACTCTCGACCTTGCACTTGCCAAGCAGGCACTATGCCGCTGAGCTATATCCCCGGCCCCCCGAGGGCTTATTATATACTATAACATTGATGTTGTAAAGACATATAAAAATAAGTAGGGATATAGAAAAGAAATTAGACTATGACTTTCGGGAGCTGCCGTCCCATGGTAGGGACAGCGACGCAGTATCCATGGGGCGATCAGTGCTGCAGCATGACGAGAGGACAGACATATTCAGAGAGACTCCTCGGAGCTGTGGGGCAGGGAATCGAGAGTTAGGGAGGACGTCATGAAGGAGTCTGTGTTCCCTGAGCTTGGAAGGATGTCGCTGGCTAAGCTGGACCAGGAGTGAACATCAGGCTCCAGGACATCCTGGTCTGAGATTCATGTCACATTTAAACTTTGGTGCAACCTTCTAAAACAATGCATTTTCCATATTTGCACATTCTAAGAACCAGCCCCCCAAAATAAAATCCAAAACAAAATACTTTTAAGGGATCTGGCATTGTTTCTGTAAATAAAATAGACACCCAAGCAGGCATCATTCTTGGTGTAATGTCCTGGTTGCTTTAGAAAGAACATATGCGTTGCTTTTCACATGAAGGTGCTCCTTTCCACTTTTGTTGTAAAAATGGTGATAGCAGATAAATCTAGGAACATTTCCTTTGGTGGCACCATGAAAGTCATTTTGGCTACTCATGTTATCAAAACCCTTTGTTTTACCTTTCACTTTTAATATTTCTAACAATTAAAGACAAACTACCCAGTGTGAGGGCAGCCTCTGCTTGGTTAAACCATGCTTTCCTGTCTGCACACAGGAAATGTTATCAAGAGATGGCCCTGTGCCACACAAGAGTAAAAGCTGCTGGAGTGTCATTTTGAAAGTGTCTTATGTGGGCAGTTTCGTGCTCGTCGGCAACAGTGGCAGGGTGTGTTCTGGTGTTTCCATCAGAGGGGAGAGGGCCTGAGCAGTAGTTTCCTGAAGTTCACCTATGCCGGGGACATGTGGTCAGTGTGCTGGTGGGAGGCGGAGTTTGCTCTCCACCCCGATCTGGTCAACAGTGTCACTGCCGCCACATAGCACAGGGTCTGTCTTCCTGGCATTTTTGCCCTTGACCTTGTCATTTCAGCCACCTGTAGGGCCACAGGAAAAGAACTCTGGGTCAGGGGCTTAACTTTGCAGAACTTGTCTTTGCTGCCTGTATTTCCTTCCCAGCAAACGATGAACGCATCAGTGATTCTTGCCCACAAGAAGTGAAGCTGGACACTTTTTTGTTCTGCAATTGAAATTCTGTATTCCTCACCAGTGAATCTGAAGTGCTCTTGATCTAAACACCTCTTTTTTTACTTTTGCTTTAACTAGGCATGAGGGGTTCTGAGGAACCCAAGAGCACCCAGTAATTTGCTAATAAGGGCAAGGGGACAAATTGTAATACTTAAATTTATTTTTAAATACTGTTTCCAGCCCACTTACCAGCCTTGCGCAGAAAGTGAAGTAAGGCCAGTTTCTAGCGCTGTCCACAGACTTTTCAGAGAGATAACTTTTGTCGAATGAAAAAAGTGGGAAGCTCAAAAGTAGGGATTTATATTTCTGAGTGAACTAAGTGGGAACATTTAATTCCATCCGAATAAGTTACATGCCTGCTGCTTTCTCTGTGATAGTTTCATGTTGTTGCATTAAGAGATTCCCAAAAACTTGTGACTTAGGACAGCACAAGTCTGTCCTCCTGTGGTCTAGACGCAAATGAGGGCACTGACTGGGTGGTCCTCCTGCTGGCAGCCCTCTGAGGCCACCTGTGGTCCTTGGCTTGGGAAGCTCCTGTCACCCACCTCCTGCTTCTACAACATACTCCTCACAAAGGCTTTGACTTCCTAAGCCTCTGCTGCCCAAGCTGGTACCCAGGATAATCCCTGCACCTTAATACCCTTTCACCAACCACGTATTCAAAGTCCCTTTTGATGTCTGAGGCAGCTTTCAAACGTTCTGGGATTTAGGACTAGAACTTGGACACCTTTGAGGGGCCATTGTGCAGCCTGGACCCCCATACAACTTTATGCCTTTTGCATTAGAGTTGAAAAACACAAATGCGCTCAGGGTTTGGTCCCTGCTCCTCAGCCTGCTCAGTGTTTTCCAGTTATGCCATGAACTATTCCAGAGCTGCTCTCTAGAACTCTTCCAATCTTGAAATTGGATGGATTAGAGATATTTACCATCATCAAAGAAATAGAGTTTCCTAGGACTATCTTCTTACATGGCTAAGACAATGAGCTGCAGTCATTCATTCCACAAGCATTAATTTTCCCCTCTGGGATGAGGACACATTTGGCCCTGTAGGTGAACAGGCCCAGCTAGGTCCTGGCCTTGGGACTTGAGGGTGGGGTTAATCTGCTCAAATCCCCTTGTCAGCCAAGCTCCATGGACATGAGAGTTTAACTGGGTTTCAAAAAAGAGCTTTAAAATCCTGATTTAGGATATTTTTAGATGTTTGTTTTCATCTTTTTTTTTTGAGACAGGGTCTGACTGTGTAGTGCAGGTTGACCTTGGACTCACTTATGTAATGCAGGCTGGCCTCAAACTCACATGGATCCTCCTGCTTCAGCCTCCTGAGTGCTGGGCTTATACGCATGTGCCACCACACACAGCTCTTGTTTTTGTCTTTAGTTTTCACTCTTGCAATTAATTTTTAGGTGTTATGACTTTGCATTTTTAATATAATGTTGGGAAAATAATGATCAAAAGATTTAAATATTCTTCTTTACAGATGTTTCATTTGAATCCTCTGAGTCATGCAATATTTAATCCAGAATTATTCCCACCAGAGATGCCCCTGCAGACAGGTAAGAAAAGACATCCCTTTTACCCTGCTGCTTTGTTTTCATTTTTAAAAGTAATTGCAGTATTTTCTTAGAGTCTCTTCTAGAAATTCAGTGGTGTCCATAGGAAGGAAGTGATTAAACACCAACCTTAAACACCAATCATCTTGCAGTTTACTTTCTTGAAATATATTTGCACAAAAATGTTCTGTCTCACTTACCTGTTGGACTAGCAGTCATGGTTGCTAATACCTATTCAGACAATGCAGAAGGAGTTTGTCACTTAATATCAAGATTTTCCTTTTTCCCAATCTTGCTGCATCCTTTTTTACCCTCTCTGTTCTGTCCCAGTCTCCACTGCCTAGCTCTGCTCCCCAAAGGTTTGTCTGAGGCCTCCTGTGTGTCAGCTACTACAAATATCATAGAGAACACCTCAGCAGAAAAAGCATCTTTTAAAAAACTTCAGACTTTGTATTCTAATTGATAAAACGTACATAATAATTCTTCTAACACAACTGCATTAATTATCCACAAACTGTTCAGTATAATCTAGATACTAAGAAATTCAGCTCATTTGGCCTCCTTTGCTAATGGTTGATGTCTGTATGAGTGTGGTCCAATGGACCTTTTTATTACTTTGTTTCATGGCTCCAGTCACAGTGGGCTTTAGATGTCAAAGCCATGAGGCTGAATTATGGTGCTTGTACATCGGATGGAGGTAGACAGCAGGTATGGAGAGACTTCATCTCATTAAATCACCTCATTTGAAACCACTGTGGTACTCTGGTTCCACCTTTCATTATTTAGATCAGATTTTTTTTTTTTTTTTTTTTTTTGCAGCTATATCTTCAGTAGTTCTAGGAGTTCATGAGAGGGGAGAAAGTAATTCTCCTACACTTTCTCCTTCACTTGTAAAAGTTGTATTAGAGAGATGTCTTTCTTTTTTCCCCTTGCTAAGACAAAATACCCAACACCAAAGTTAGAGGGGGAAGGGTTTATTTAGCTCACAGTTTGTAGAAATTTCAGTCTGTAACAAGCTGACTGCAAGGCAAGGTGGATGGCAGACAGGCATCACAGAGGAGAAACAGTTCATGGTGGGCAGAAGGTAGCAAAGCAAGCAAGAGGGGAGACAAGTCTCTTTCAGCCCCTTATGTTGTATCTAGGCTACCAGGATTAGGGTGTTGCCAAACCAATCAGTGGACTGACTTAGTAATCATACACCCTTAATCCCAGCATTGCACCATGAATCAGGCACACACTCTGGAGTCAGCCTCCTCTGAAAAAGCCCCACCTTTGACTGCATGAAGCTTTGGGGGGACATCTAGACATAAGCCATGACAAGAGCCCTTTCTCTCCTTTCCCCACAAAGCATTATCTAGGCCACAGTGTCTGAGGTCTTGTGATGTGCTGTCCAACTTGAGCGCAGGGTCAGCTTCCTGTAAATGGGCAAGTGTCTCGATAATCAGTGTTTCCTGTGAGCTTTTCAATTCTGGGGTTCAAAGTATTTTTCTTAGTATTAATGCTTTGCTGAAGATATAAGAACTTGGTTTTGCCCTCAGAAAATGCACAGGTTATCAGTTTCATGCCCGGTGAATACCAAACAGTATCCAAAGGCAGATTTCTTAAACAATGCTTTTTCTTGACATAAATGTGCATAGACATAATATTATCAAAAGAGCCATATCAGTCAACATTCTGAGGTCACAGCTTCATGTTGTGGAACTAATGTTGCCATGATATTACAAAAGTTTTCAGAATTATACCTAGAAATCTTACTTTCCTGTTGTTACCCACCATTTTTATCCATATGTCTTCCTTCTCTGTTGCAGTGGTATAGTTTAGATTTTATAGACCAAGGTGTATGGGACATTTATTCAGATTTTAAAAGAGTAGAGAAGTTGTATACACTGGTGTTAATTTTCTATTTCTGTATGGATATTTTCAATCATCTAGGTTTCTTAAATCGAAAGCCATTAGTAGATCAATGGCTTGTTAAAAAGTATGGGTTAGAGTGTAACTGATAGGCCTGTAGTTTAAATTTCTGTGCACGGCAGGATAGCATTTTTATAAAGCAGAAATGTGGCCCCCACCCAAAATTGGCCTTAAAACAAAGATAAGAACAGTGAGTCTAATTTTCTAGTTGATTTAACTTTCTCAACAAGAAAAATGGATACATTTTATGTAGAATTTCACATATTTAAAGGAAATTAATCCTATAGAAAAAAAGCAGATTTGTAAGTCTTTTTTGGAAGAGTTAAGGAGAGACCTGAAGTTTAACATGACGTCTTACCCACACACAGCTTCTCAGAAGCTATCTTCTGATATGTTGTTTCACACCCCAGGAGAAATTTTTTTACATTTGTTACATTATCAGGGGTGTGAAAATATTTCTCTTTTTAACCTGTTTTATTTTCTAAGTAAAAATTAAATTCTAGCCATTTTTTTTTAATTTTAAAATTACACCTACTTTTCTAAAAGTATTTTAAAATGTTCAGGGATGACTTCCATACAGATGGAAGATAATTTCCCACCTGACCCCATTGACAAGTGACTCTCTCTTCCTCTCTCCTGGAGAGGAGGAACAAAACACTCAGAGTTAGGGAGCAAAGGCAGTAGCTGTACTTACGGCATCAGGAGAGGGCAAAAACCAGAAAAGGAGTGAAGGGAGAAGCAGGTGCGTGATGCTGGCCATGTCATCTCTTTTAAGGTTACACTGAGCTCATGCTCTGCGGGGAACAAAAGTCAGCATCTAATGATGTGAAGACAGAAGACAGTGTCACAGTGCCTAGGATCTACTTGCTACTGTTAACTGATATTCTTGTTTAAAAAATATTTTGTTGGAGACAGGATTGTGAAGGCAACAACGCTTGCCAGCCATGAGCCCACTGTTGGGTGGGGCAGTCAACAAACATGGATTTATTGGTGCCCTCTAAAACTGTAAAAGGACTGTCCAAGAGCAGTGAATGAGATATTTCAAGAAGAGAAATTATATCCCCATGAAATGGTAGCTGTAGAATTGATTTGAAACCTCTGTTTAAAAACATAACTTTGACTTGCTTTACATCTTATACCAAATTTGAGAAGCCTCACGGTGTCTTTTGGTTTCTGTTTGTTGTTTTTGTTTTTAGCAGATGGTCCATACCTTCAAATATTAGAGCAACCTAAACAGGTAAGAAGATTAAAGGGGTGGGACTTTCCTTACAATATTAGATCCCTACATCTAATGTTTAGACCTCAAGCATTGAAAAATATGAAATAAATGTTATAGAGGAAGTAGGCTATCTGGAAGATCAACAACCTGCCAAATTATATAACAGCTTGGCTCAGTGCTTTTCATTTCTCTTATTTTTCTTGAACCTCGGTATAGTTCTGTGAAACTCCAGTTAATTATAGATCTTTGGTATTCTGCTGTCTCCACCAGTTTAGCTATCAGCCTTTGCCAGGAAGGCGTGGATTATTTTCACCCACTTTCATCTGTAAGAAAATACACTGACACAAAGCTCACATCCACACATGCGTAGTCCTTCCCAGCCCCACTTCCTGCAGCAGGTCCAGCCAATTCCTTTCTGTCTGCGGAACTTGTAACCTTAGGCACTGAAAGTGCTGCTGGGTGTAAAACTTAGATTCTCTTCCTTCTGGCACTAGTGTTAGACCCGAGCTCTTGGAGACAGAGAGGAGCTAATCTTATCAGGCTCTTCCTCTAAGCTCTGGGTGGAAATGGCTTCTCTAAACCATGTCCCAGCTTGGTGGGTAAATAGGTGTTAGAGACTCTGTGGCTCTAGGGCTGTGAAAGGAAGGAAGGCAGTTTTTCCTGTCTGCTTGTAGGACTTTTCATTCACTAGGAGATGCCCAGCAGACGTCTGGGACCAGACAGCCCTCACAAGGCTGAATCAGCTGACAGCATCTCTCAGAGGACAGGAACCCCACGGGGAACTTTGGACACTGTTCTAGTTGCTTGCAGGGATCAGTCCCTTCACAGGCTGCCAGCAGCGCTTGCCTCTGTTTACCTCTACCTCCAGCTCTATAGCAGGAACTTCTCACACAAAGTCGCACGTTCTCCCAGGGATTTCATCCCTGAAATTCTACAAGAGGACCTGGCCTCCTGGAAAATTTCCTAGCTTATAGTTTTATGAAACTAATCAATTAAAATTTGTCTTCACACCAAATTACTTCTCCAGATACCTATTTTTATAAGCAGAGCACCACAATGAGACTTTCACATGCAGTTCCTTACCATGGGCCCAGCAGCCATAAGGAAAGATGGGCATTCAGGATCTCCCTTCAGGGTGGATGTAGTTCCAGAACTCAGACTCCAGTTCATTATGTGTGCATGCGCAAGAGCTCACAGGAGTGCATCAGGTGTTTATTTACCAACTGCTGCTGCTCTGACGTTTGACTTCAGTGAAGACAGATGCCATTCTGGAGTCAGACTCTGCCCAGTCTGGGGAGCTTCCCACTTGGGCTTGGTGACTCTTCTGGAGCACTCAAATTGGCCGAGATGAAAGGCTGGGGACTGAAGAGCCTTGAATTTCAGAAAGTCAGACTCAGAAACGCATCCAGTCTCTGCATCTGAAGACATTTTATCTTCCTGAACAAAAGAATTCTGAATCTCCACATTCAGGTTGAAAATTAGCTTGCATAGAAATATAGGGGCTCTCACGCAACCCTGAGTAGTAGCTGCTGTTTTCCAAACTACAAGGGCACGGTTAAGTCTTCGATCGCACCCTCAGTCACATGTGAAAGTGTGCACGTATGCACCTTTCCAAGTGCCTCGAAGGGATTTTGCGATAAAAGATAATGAATCACTTTAGTCATTTTTTAAGATGACTAAAGTCATATCTAGGACCTTCCTGGTCTAGGTTTTCCAAGTGGTGACGGGAATGAGTCACAGCATGGTCTACAGATCTCTGCGCATCCAGTTCTGCTGCAGATGGCACAGCGCTAATTAGCTAATCCTGTTTTAAAACTGAAGTTGTGTTTGAATTGATTAGCAGTCAAGTAATCCCTACCTCCATAGTTAGCCAATTCTGGATGCTATTGAACATGCTGTTGGTTTCTCATGCCTTTAGAAATTCCACTTCATTATTTAAAGTAAGCTAACAGGCATTGCTTAAAAAGGCATAGAACTGAATTTGTAACTTATTTTTTTTTAAAATTTCAATTTTGTGAGATGTAAAACAGAAGAAGCACCCTTAAAACCTCATCTCTGAGGGCGCCCCTGGTATCCAGGTGTGGGGCCTTCAGAGAAGCCAAAAGTAAGAGTCATTTGAGGTCTTGCTGTGGTGAGTGGGTGCACACTGCAGGCTGAGTGATGCGGGGAAACTTTCCAGACTGCGGCATGGACTGAGCCCTGCAGCCCTTCCTCATCAAGCGAAACATGCTGTGGGATCATCTCTTTTGGAAATCAGGCATCCTCATAAAGTAGGGACAGTCGTCTGTGCTCCACAGAGACTCAGATGACATCCAGGAACCTGGGCCACTCACAGACCACACGAGTCTACCAGGCGAAATGAACTGTCATATAGTCAAGGAAGGCAATTGCACCTTGGGCTATGATCTCAGAGCTGATGAAACCTTAGTGTTTACTGGGCTTGTCTTATGCATGGTAGAAATTCACTGGCCAGGGATGGATGGGAGCTACTAACAGTCTAATGGCCTCGCACCGTTCCTATAAAGCCTGCCCCACAATAAAAATAAGTGAAAGGTGAGGATATTTCCTAAAGGACACAAACACACTCTTCTTTTCACCAGAGGGCGAAATGGAAAAAATTAAAACCATCCAGCTTGGTTGCACGGTTCCAAACTACTGACATTGCCACACACTGAATGACATCGTTATGAAGGTGAATGTTTCAGGAAAAAACAGGAAAGTTCTCTTAGTACAACTATGAGGTCCATTTGCAGAATGGTCTTGGCTTGAGTCTTTGCATACCAGTCTGAAGAATTATAATTAAGCCAGCTTTATAGATTATCAGCAGTTAAAACCAGGCCTTGCAGACTGAGCCTTCCAGATGGTGTCAGTGGTCTTCTTGTCTGTCAGAGGATGGGGCTCCTAGGTCTGTCTGTCCACGATTGTTCACACACATGGCAGAGGTTACAGCAACCTCTTCATTGATGAATCGCAGTGATAAAATTTCCCCCCATCAGATGTATAAGGGACCACCTGGCTTTCATGCACTCACAGAAGTTGGTATAAGCTCGAGCTCCTTGCTTCAGTCATCATGAAATTAAAGCCCTCCCCTTGGTGTGGAGAGGAGCTGGTGATGCACAGCGTGTCGTTGGGTATGCAGAGGATCCAACAGGAGGCCTCTGCAGCCCACCCCCTGCCAGCTGTCATCAGCGGGGATACAGAAGAAGCGCCTCTAAGTCACAGTCAAGGAAGCATGACTCTCCCCGCTGTGGGGAAGCTCAGAGAGCGGCAGGAACTTGAGATGTGGGAGCTCTGCCTCCGACTCCACAGCCCTGCCCTGGCACTGGGCGTCATTGCTACAGCAGCGTACTTCTGGCAGACGCCGCTGGGCTTCCCAGCGCGCAAGTTTCAGGTCATGTGGTCGTCCTGGTGACCTTGAGAAAGCCCTTTTGCTTCCGAGGGTCCTCTTTCAGCAGTTTCCTGTGTTTCCATCCAGCACACATAAGCATCAGAAATTTCGGTATCACTTCGCCACTCTCATTTAATGCCTATTTTTCACGCTTCTGGCCCTGTGTTCGCCTTTGCAGAGAGGGTTCCGGTTCCGTTACGTGTGCGAAGGCCCCTCGCACGGTGGGCTTCCGGGTGCCTCCAGTGAGAAGAACAAGAAGTCCTACCCTCAGGTCAAAGTAAGTTTTGGGGTCTCCTCCTGCAGGGTCCCACAAGACTCAGTTTCCTACATGCCAAATCACAGAACTGCTTCGAATGATTCCACTTGCCTTTGCTCCTGAGTAGAAGGGTGCACAAGATTGTTGTAATTTTCAAGTGGAAATCTGTCATAGCAATAGAAGGGACAGGTTTTTTAAACTGTTAAGGTTTCCACTGAGTAGAAATGTTTTCAGGATCAGCTAAGAAACTTACTATTTCACAATCATGCTCAGTGATAAATCCTCAAACTTAAAGAATGCTTTGAGGCAAATGCCCTGTTTTGGCTCCAGAGAGATCAGCGAGTGAGACAGGTGAGATCAGTGATCATGGACTGTGTGTGTGGATTAGGTCGTGTGTTGTTCAGGATCATGAATTCAGATCCATATCGTGTGACAGGCTGTGTGCACTTCTGAGCGTCATTGTCCTGATGCAGAATTATAATTCTTCCCCGAGTCCTTGGAGTTTCAATGAGGACGCTTCCATACACTCCACAGGGACCCCAGGGTCCCGTCTCTGTCTGCACAGATGTGTGCCACTGCACTGGACCTCCTTGGGCTGAACTGCTGGGCACACTTGTGCCACTGCAGGTCCTTTCCTTATTTACTGATTGGACTGAGAATGGCTTTCTCTAAATTAGGTAAGGCTTTGCTTCCATGTTTGGTTATGGTTTTGCAGGAAAGCCAGTTAGGCATTACAGTGTAGTTGTTTATAAACATTTCTGTTTATTCAGTAACCCAAAGTTGAGGCCAAAAAGCCATCAGCACTGCCCACCCTGATATGGAACATTCTTTAGGCTCCTGACTTTGTGGCAATTGGTGTAAGTTGGAGCTCAGCAATTCTGGCCCTCAGCAAAACTGTGATGGAAGGAAATAGTTCTATGATTTTGCTAGGCTTGCATTGTTTCTTCTCTTTGCTCACACCCCTTCTAAGCCCACACTTTTCTAATTCTTATCCTTGTTTTAAAACAAAAGAAAAATACTATACTGTCGTTGTTTACCTTTGAGTGAAATGTAACCATAGTATTAGTCCTATGAGCCATATTTTCAGCTAAGGCTTTCAGCTATAGTTGTGTAATGAGGACATTTTTCATAGTAAAGGTAATTAGACAGGTAAATGCAATGTCTTTAGTCCACAGAAGCAGAACAGTGTACGCATGGATGGATGGATGGATGGATGAATGGATGGATGGATGGGTAGATGTATGGATGATGGATGGGTGCATGGATGCATGGATAGAGGGATAGATAAATAGGTGAGTGGATGGGTACATGGATGGATGGATGAGTAGGTAGAACAGTTTGGGGGGTGGATTGATGGATGGGTGGATAAATGGATGGATGGATGTGCGGGTGGATGGGTGGATGTCAGGAGCTAGCTGGCTGGCATAATTATACAGGCTAAATCCCACAATAGGCTGTACCCAGAGGTACTGATAGCATGGCTCATTCTAAGTGTAGAAGCCTTGGAACCAAAAGATAATGGCGTAACTCTCAGTCCAAGGCTGAAGGCTTGAGAACGCAGGGGTGGTGGGAATGGTGAGGTTGCTAGTGTATGTCCAAGGGTCCAAAAGTGGCAGAACCCAAGGCTCCACCCTCCTCTTCTAGGAGCAGTGGCCTGGCTCTGGGGAGAGAGGGGAAAGATGTCTCTCTTTGGCTTGTTGGTCTGTCTGGGCCTCCACTGATGGAAATGTCACAGACATGTCCAGAAGCGGTGCTCTGCCAGCGCTCTAGGTATCTCCTAATCCAGCAGAGTCAACACCTAAAATTAACCACGACAACAGGGTCGAGGCTTTCAACCTCTTAGACCCTGGATTAGGAATCAGGAGCACCAACAAGGAAGGGAATTAGTGCTCACAGATAGGCAATGATTTCCCAAGTACTGTGCACACATTATCTCTTTTAGTATTCAGAACAGCCCCGCAGGTCAAAGGTGTAGTGCCTATGAGGAAACCAAGGCATGGAGAGGAATTAACTGGCCTTGCTTGTGGGCCTGTAGCTTTTTGTCCTTCAGCACCCTGGTGCTCAAGACCCTCACTGTAGAGCATGTGCAGTGAGGTACTGCCGGGGACAGGGGCCCAGGGACAGGACATGGCCCTGGGAAGTTGGGCATAGAAAAGTCTGGAAGATAAGCAGAAGGGATAGAGCAGCAGGTCTGGGCATCAGATCCATGCACCATGTGAATGCTTATGTTCACTTGTGAGAAGGGTCATTGGAAGTTGTGTCTCATCAGCAATGACGCTGATCCCAACTACGTAAGAGTTGACCCAGCAGGGACTAGGGTGCAGCTCAGTGCAGCACTTGGCTGGCAAGCTGGAGGCCCTGGCTTCCATCCTCAGCTCTGAGAAGGAAGAAAAACAGAAATCTGATTGCTCAGCACATTCTTGATACTTTAGAATACATGGTGTTGTTATATATTTATTCGCTAACAAAAATCTTTATCCGTTTAAGCTCCATCTTCATTCCACCTCCTCAAAAAACACATTGCTGCCTCACAGTCCCAAAATAATTTGGAAATGAAACAATTTCGTGAGTATCCGGTGTTCTTGTCAAATCATATCTATATCAAGGCATTTCATGCTTAATGGGAAGTTTATAAAGCTCTAATAATAAAGCAAGACCAAATGTAAACGTGCAGGATTGGTCATTATTGAGCCTCAGGCAGAGTGTCACTGTCTCAGCATTCTCATTTGCTAGTTAAGTGTATTTTTACTAAAATGCTACCCAGTTAAAAGGCAAGGAAGAATTTAGAGTTTCCCCACCCTAACCTCGAGAAGCTGCTGATGCTGTTCACTGAGAGTTTAAGTGGCTGTTGTTTCTGCCAATTAATGGAAATAATTCTGTTTTAGCATTAGAGGGATGAGAGGGAGGGAAGGAAAGAGGAGTTGTGAAGGTTTTTATTATGGAGCTTCTCCTTCAGGGTCCCTGTAACAGTCTTTCCATAAAAGATTCCTGTGGGTGATGAATCTGATGTATCCCATGGATGATGAGGATTTTAAATCTCTTTCCTCTAACAGTTGGGCATTGAAAAAAGATGTTCTTGGCATCTTTCCTACAAGGAGAACCTCTGCACCAGCACTCATCCTTGTCATGGTCTCAGGGAGCTGGACAGAGCAGCCATGGGGCCTGGGTTGGGGGTCTCTGAAGCTCACACTGTGATTGTTGGGGGCCAGGACTCTTCATTGTGGGGGCTTCTGGGAGTGTGATAGGATATTTAGCAATGAACTAAAGTGCCTGAAGACACTGTCAGCCATCCCCTGGTAGGGGTCACATGAGCTTAAGAACCGCTAGTGTAGACACAACCCTGAATCAATCTCACATTACACTGTTGATCTTTTTCCAAAGTCGGATTACGTAGATTGAATGGAGTTGCCCATATTCCTGGATTACTTGATAATCACATGCACTTTTCCTGATTAACATTAGCAGGTCTTTCTTATTTTCAAGACGATAACCATAGTGTCCAAATAATTTCTCCTAGAATCTCTTATTAGTTTATGTGAATGTTAAAAAGAAAGACAGAAAAGAGGAAACATAATATATCTTAGACAGTTCCTATTACAACAACTGCATCCCTAATGTGGAAGTTCTGTGGACCAATAGGAACCAGCATCAGAGGCCCAGGGGTCCTTGTGTAGTCGCACACTTCCACAGGCAACAGCCAGGGGCAGGAACAGCCTGAAGGGTTAGAGCTGGCGGCGGGGGTAAGGGCTGCAGAACCTGAGGCACACTTTGCGGGACTTCTAGACTTGCAATCCTCTGTGGACTCCCATTGGCTGTCCATTTAAAGCGCTGAAGGCCAACTTAGCTCTTGCTTCTCCTGCTGGGATTGTGCCCTTGCACGGAGCCCTGTTGCAGGCCAGCAGGGTGCAGGTGGAGACCAGGCAGAGGTCACTTCTGCAGTTCTGTGTGTCTCTGTCACAGAGCCGAGAAGAAAGAATCCCACTTAGTTTCCTGATGTCTTGCTGTGCACTCCTTCTTTTCTGTTAAAATATTTAAAATTATAAAATAGTTTGCGCATATGGAAAGTTTACAAACTGACCCTAATGTAAGTTGAAGAGATGTGAATGGTTCACATTTTACATAGTTGCTGCTAAAGCACATCCCCACATCCCCACCACAGACTCGTTTGTATAGGAAAGCTGCTGTCTGAGCTTGCTGTCTTTCTTGGAGTTGTTTTTAAGCTTATACTACATGAATATGCATTCATAAATACTGGGATTCTCAAGACCGTATCAGCTTCAACTCAACACTTTGATTATATATTATGGGTTCTTTTCAGGCTCCATGAGGGGTTGTTAAACATTAACCCGGCCTCACTTTGACCTTATGGATCCCTCTTGACTATGTGAATAAAAATGTGTTCATCCATGGTGCGGAGTTTGTGCCGCCTTTTGAAGCCAAAAATAGTACTCAGGGGAAGGCGAGGGAGAGTCCATTTGCAGGCTGACTTCTGTGTTGCCCTATTTGAAGGAAAGTTTTCCTGTTGCTAAACGGTTACTCGCCCACCATGCCAGCCCAAGAAGTTACCCCAGAGTATGCTGGGTTCTGACTTCCCGGGAGCTGGCAGGAGTGCAGAACACCAGGCCCTGCGTGTCCCTGCCTGTTGGTGACTCAGCAGGGAGTGCCGGGGAAGGCGCCTGCCTCTTGTTCCCGAAAGCTGGGCAAGAAGATTTTTAATCTCCCTGCCTTCCTCTTTATGAAGGTGGAGGAGACCCGCACCGGGCGCACACGGGCCTCAGGGACATGGTCCCTCCATCCTTTGGTCCCTCCCTCATGGTGGCTGCTGGATGCCTTCTACCTATTCTGTACAGAACACAAATCAACAGCGGCCGCTTTGTTTCCAAAATGCCAAAAGCTTACTGTTAGTGTTGTCATTTTCTCTTTAGTTGTAAATATCAAAAGCAAGGGACTTCAAACTAAATTGATACAAGTTTTTAAGGAGTGTTTTCTGAAAGCTATCCCTAGTGTTTACACAGAGTGAA